ACTGAATCATTTACTTTTTAAAAAACGAGATTAAAACAGTTACCATAATAATCAAGTAACCTATTATTATTTATTATGTTTTTTAAAAAAGATACTTCACCCTTCAGGTAGATTATGCAAATATGGAACCTAATTCTTGTAGACAGAAGTTAAAAAAAAAAATTCTATGACAAGTACTTAAAAACATGATACTATAAAGAAAACAATTTAAAAATTCAGATAAATTAGGGAATGATCAATAGGGTAGTTAAAACTCCACCTTAAATATAAAATACTTCTTTTCAACTGAAAACTATGTTTCAAAATTAAGTATTCTGTTGCTGGAAAATACAAAACTTTTCTTATTCCATACTTGATTTTTTATATCAAGTACTTTATTTAATAGTAAACGTAAGTAAACATATCAACAGAAACAATATAAGGCATATACTGCTCAAGAGTTCAAACTGAGATTCCATTTGTGCTATCAACAATTTAAAAACTGAAAGTTACCTACCACACAAATTAAAGAATATTAAGTTGAAGAACTGATAAACCAATTACTTCAATTACTGAACAAAAATCAGATCTGCTTATTATGTTCATTTAAGACCAAAAATTTAAAAAAAAAAATTAAAGTAGACCCCCAAGGTATAGCTTAGTTTTTTGTTTTGTTTTGTTTTGTTTTAAAGCTAGTTAGAATGAGCCCTATTAAGTACCTATTCTAGCTGGAGACTGGTTAATTAATCGGTCCAGGTCAGATTGGATGTGCCTTCTTTTCATTATTATTCTAGTTCACCATCCGCAAGTGCGGGAAGGTGTCAGAGTGTCGAAGCTAGGGGGCATGCTGTAGCAAGGGGAAAAGAAAAACGGGAAAGGTGCAATGGATGCTGCATAGTTGAATAATTATCTGGGTGGCACAATGGGCGAGTCCCGCCGACACCAGAGCTGAGGGAGAGGCTGCCTAACTCTGCCCCAGGCACCTCCCCGTTAAGCGGCATCAGAAGCGACCGGACCGCCTCTCCTCGTCTTCACAAGGAAAAATGAAAAAGAAATAAAAGGATGCCCGCACTCGCTTTACCTTTGGTTTTGGACACGGACCGGCGGCGCAAACACGCAAAGGCAGGCGCTCGCGGAGAGCCGCGGCAGGCGAGCGGGCCAGGGCTTCTCCGCCACCCCGCGGCAGCGTCCCCGCGCCAAGAGCACCCGGGCGGCGGGGGCGGTCGTGGGGGCGGCGGCGCCCAGCCGCAGGTGAGACCCGCCGCTCTCGGCCGGGCTCAGCCCCGGTCCCTGCAGCACAGACCCCGGCAGCCCCGGTCCTCCTCGGCCCCCAGCCGGGTGGGCGGCGGGAGCTCGGGAAGCCCGGAATGGGGGCGGGGGAGGCGCGCCCATCCATCCCCGCAACCTCTGCGGACCAGAAACCCGCACACAGCCCTCTGCTCCGGCCGGCGAGAGGGAGTTCCTGCCCCAGGACCTCCGCCCTGGAGAAAGGACCCTGAGAGACTCGCGCTCACCGTGAAACCGTGGGGGGCTCTGCCTTACCCCTTCTTCATGCTTCGGCGGCGGCCGTCGGTCCGCTCAGCTCGGGGACCCACCTAGAGTCCTCGGGAGCGTCGGGCTCTGGGGTGGAAACTGTTCCAGGCGGCGGCTGTAGCTCCGGGCCACCGGGGATGCCGCCTGGGGCGCCCGCCGGCCGCCGGACCCACCGAGCGCTCGAGGTGCGAGCGAACAACACCGCGCGAGCCGCCTCTGCCCTCCGCCGCCCCCTCCCCGCGCGACGCTCCACGGCCGGGCGCGGGGACCCGCGCCAGCAGCAGGGGGAGCCGCGGCTCTCTCTCCAACTAGTCTCCCATCCTTCCGACCAGAGCTGCCCCGGGCCAGTCACAGGTCTTCAAACCAGAGATTCTCACTTGCTGCTTCAGCCCTCAGGGGCCAGGTATCCCCAGGGTGGGAAACGCAGCCTCCGCCCACTCACCCAAACGAGGGAGGAAAGCTAGCTCTTCCCCCTTTCCTGAGGCTCTGTGGTATTACCCAAACCTCATTTTGGGGGAGGGGGACGAGGAGAACCGTGCTTGGCTAGGGAATGAGGGGAGATGATAGCCTATTGAAGGAACCATCCATTCAGAGGCGGGGTCGGAGGGAGGCCCGCCCTTCTTGCCCCGCCCCTCCCTCCAAACTACACTTCCCATAGTGCCTGTTTCCACTTCCTGCCGCACTGCCCGCTGGGAATCCGGACCTTCCAGGCCTTTAAGATGCTTTAGAACTCAGGCTTTCATTTAGCCAGCTAGGTCCTGAAAGTTGTAAACCACCGTATGTCATTCTGCTGCCCTAGATAAATATTTAAAAACCCCTAGGTTAGGTTGTAGCTATTATAGTATTAATCAATTTATTAATTCAGTGTTAGCAGTGATTTCTTTGCAAAGAAGGTAAAGAACTGTTCCGTGGCACTCTGTCAGGACCTGGGAGCCAGGGCTTCTTCCGCCCGGGCCTGGTTTCTTCCTTGGATCCTTTGCCGTCATGTCGGCTGCGATTGCAGCTCTAGCCGCTTCCTACGGCTCAGGTTCAGGATCCGAATCGGACTCCGACAGTGAGGGCGGTCGATGTCCGCTGCCAGCCGCCGACTCCCTCATGCACCTGACTAAGTCGCCCTCCGCCAAGCCGTCTCTGGCAGTGGCGGTGGACTCGGCTCCGGAGGTGGCAGTTAAGGTGAGTGTTGGGCTACCGATGCTGTGCGGGAGCTGACTTCTACTCCAAACCACCGCTGTTAGGTCCCGGCTTGCCTTTTAGAGTTTAGAGAGACGCCTCCCTCCCATACGCTTCTTCCTTGGGAGAAGCCCAGAGTGGAAGTTAAAGGAACCCTCCTTGCCTCGCCTCTCTCCATCAGAAAACAAATGGGCGAGGGGGCGTCAATTCTTGGCTTGGTACGTGACCAGAATGGAGCAGGTGTAATCTCAGAACGCAAATAAAACTAGATAAGGATTTCCCAGCTAGAGTTGAGTGTGCAGTAGCCCGACTTTGTTTTGGCTTTGAAGAACTCTATATTCTTAAATGCGCTTCACCACTTGCGTGGACTTGTGTGAACTTAGACAAATTTCACAACCTCCTGTTGGTTCACTTGCACAATGGGGGTTTTAATTATTTTGCCTGAAAACTTTTTTGCAGTCCACCTGTCTCGCCTCCCGAGTGCTAAGATTAAAGCATATGCCATGCCCAGCATTACAATGGAGACTAATATTTAAAGTGCTTATCTATACGAGACAATTATTGTGGCCATTAAGTGAAATAATTATACAAATTTAACGCACAGAACCTGATCGCTAATAAGAGGGCAATACATATTAGCTATTACATTTAACTATGTTGATGCAGTGAAGAAAAGGTACTAGATTTAAATAATAGGTAATAAAGGAAGAGATATGTTAAGTACGTGTTCTTTGTCAGGAACTCTTGTAAGGTCTGAAGCCACAGAAGGTAGCAAGCCAGACATCCTTGTCATCGTGGAAAAGGTAGTTAATTACACATGACCAAATAAAGTAGTTACAGATTGAGTTGGGTTCTATTAAGGAAAAAAATGAAGACCCATGATAGAGACAAAGGGGAGACATGGGTTGGTCAGAGGAGTACTCTGTGGAATGATCTCTGAGAATAAGAACCTGGCTGTACTGGTTGATATTGTGTCCATTTGAGAGGTTTAATTAAGTGACTTAGCCGAGAGCCAGGATTCTTAGTTTGTAAGCATTCTCATCCTATGCAAGAGGGGCCATGGACATTTGTGAGTCCTACACCTTCAGCCCCAGGGTAGCTTGTTTATAATGTAAGGAAGGGAAAGAGGCTGGCTAGAAGCTGCAACTGCTGCCTTTTCCTTTGATCTTCACTGTTTTCTGCTACTATGAACTGCTGCTCTCTGCCATGTGTCCCTCTGCCTGGGAGCCATCCGAGTATGGACTGAAACCTCCATGAACTGTGAGCTAAATAAACCTTTCCTTCCTTAATTTTAGGTGTCAGGTATTTTGTCTCAGCAATGAGGAAAAGTAACTGAGACACCGGCCCATTGCAATCTAAGGTGAGAGTTCCCAGGCATAGCTGACCTGAAAAAGCAGAGAGTTTAGTATGATTGAAGAACTGAGGTAAGGTTCTTTCTGCATCTAGAGCCAGGTCAGAGCACACACCAATTGGTGGTAGAGCTGTGTGGGCAGTTAGCTCAAGATGTAGAGATGGTGTGCAAAATTCTTATGTATGCTGTCTACAAGTCTAGCGCTTTCACCTAAGGATACTATGGGTCTTTAGTGAGCCATTCACATTTTTTTTTTAAATGAACATCTAGCATGAAAAAATGCTTGCTATTTTGCATTTACTGCAAAACAACTCCCAGTTTCTGTCCAACAACTCCTAAGTTTGTATTCCTCTCATAGCTCTTTTGGAGCACTCATCAATTCACTTCCATTTTTCCTCAGCCCAATGCAGTGTGGCCCCAGCCTCTTGAGAAACTTCTCCCAGAATTATGTCTCAGGTTTTCCACTAGTCAGGTTCCACCTTAAGTCTTTGCATCCAGTGACACTCTTGAATAGTTTGTCTTTCTCTCCCTTTGACATGCATGGGGGTATGCTCAGCCTCTGATCCCCCTTTCTGTACTGTCCTTCAATATCGATGTTTCCCAGGTCTGCCCTTAGTCCACTTGGCATTTTACACATTCCCCCTCATCGTCAGTCTCAGTTGACTGCAGGTGGCCACTGTGAAGTGGTTAGCACAGTCAGGATTCAAACTTGCCTTGAGCACTTTCCTTCATGGTGGCCTTGGATAAGTCACTTATGTACTCCCTGCCAATTTGGTCTCATTTTGCACCTTCTCAGAGGTTTAACCCTACTGCTTATCTCCTAGAATTATAGAAATTGTCATAAACCATGTGAAGCAATTTTAGTAATGCCATATATATAGTAAACAAATGTCAGCTATCATTTCCAGCGCTAAATTTCTTGCTAACTTAAGACCCAATAAACCTCTCTCCTGAGAAGGCTCTTGGATACTTTCAATCTGATGTGCTGAAAAAGTAAGTTTCTCTTCCTCAGAATCCCCCTCTCATTTTCCCATTTTAATGAATGATCCCACAACCTGCCCATTAGTGCAGCAGAGAACAGAAGGGTCATCCTTTCTCTTCTTCCTTAGCCCTCTAAGCTATTCATTCGGTTGGCTCTAACATTGGCTATCATAATTTTTCTCAAATTACTCCCTTTCTCTATGTTTTCATAAACACAGTCTTCATAGTTTCCTTATTTCTCCAGGAATTATTCCTGACATTCCTTTTTCTCTCAGTCTTTGATTTTGGGTGGATTGTCCTGCCTGTGATACTTATCAAATACCTCTTTCCTCTTCTACTACCATTCCTCAGTTCAGAGTCTCATCATTTTTCCTGAGGCAAGTATATAACCTTCAAACCCTCAAACAGGTTTTCCTACTTCTTGGGGCCTTGCCATATAACTCAGTTGTTTAAAGCACCACTTGGGCTAATACAGTTAGGCACATAGGACTGCAGTTCAATTCCCAGTTCCAGAAGCTGCACCAGACCCGTCCTGAAGTAGCCAAAAAAAAAAAAAAAAAAAACTTCGTCTGTTTTGTCTCTGAATTCTATACCCTCTTCTTTCCTCCATAGAACATGTAGAATATTGTTTCTAGATTCTGATTTCACAGGTTGCTTCCCTCCCCAAAGCTACCATACTCTTTCTAACTTCCTCATGTAGCAAGGGGAGCCTGCCAAATTCTTTCTTTCTCTTAAGATTTTGCACACGCTAGTGTTTCCGCCTAGAAATCCCTTGTGACTCCCAAACTCTGCTACCCTTCATTTTCAGTGCACATTTCCTTCTATGCCCATCACCAATTCATCTCATGTTATTTTAGTCCCACTCTGCTCTTATTTTGGAATGTCAGTGAAACATTTGTGTTCTCCAGTATATAACAATAACTATGTTCTGGTTAAAATTTTATTGTACTGCAATGTTGTCAGATTTTACACTTTAGAAATGACTACTTTAGCACCTGGCTGGAGGTACATGCTTGTAATCCCAGCACTTGGGAGCCTGGTGCAAGAGGATCTGTGTGAATCTGAGGCCAACCTGGACTACATAGTGAGTTTAAGGCCAGCCTAAACTATGTAGCAAGACCTGGGGGGGCAGGGTGTATTCCCACTTGAGAAATGTGATGAGCTGTATTCTATCAATTCCAAGTGTTGCTTGTTAAATGTCTTTTTAAACTTTCAAAAATAACACAGCTTACATTCTGTCTCTTTTAAGCATAGTTTTAAATTTCCTACTCAGTGATATAGTATCTCTTATATTTGTCATCTTTCGAATTTAAATCCCTTTTTCCTGTACATCTGTCAAGGGCCAAACTCATCTTTATCTGGATTTCTGTTTTTTTCATCACATCTGTCTAAATTTCTGTTGTAGGAATTTTTCTATTTGGAACTAATTTCCAAATTCTGAGAAGAACAAAAACCTATGCCCTAAACTGATAAAAAGAAAAAAACTTTATAATAATGATTAGCTAGTAGTCTGCATTACAGTTTACATTGTGTTTTCATGTCTCTTTTCTTATTTGCACACAGGACAACGTGAAAAGAACAAAAAGATGTTTAGTATTGTTTTCAGATAACTTTGAAGTATTAAATGATAAACTGTTTAACTTGAACCATACAGTCCCCTTCAGTTACTACACTTTAATTTTTGTGACTTAAACTAAGTAGAAATTATTTATAATTGTTTGGTAATCCCAATTGCATTCTTAATTGTTGTTGAACTCCTAGTGGGAATTAAAACAAGGTTGTGGCTTTGTGCAAGTTGTTCTAATTAAGTGTAAAATTAACAACCTTTTATTTCCTAAAGGGTTGCTTAGTTCTATACTTTTATTAGGGACCAAAGCTTGTGACCTATTTATGTAATTAGTCACCACTGTTGCTTATTTAAAGGATAATTTTTTAATTATACTTTGTATTTAAAAGTACATAATTTTCCATTCAAAATAACTCAGATGTATAGTATTTTAAATACATACTTCATTAGAAGGATCTGATGATCTACATTGTGAAGTGTTTCTAGCAACTGTGCCCCATACATCTCTTGTTCTTTTAAAGTTTATCACTAGAAGTTGACTAATAAGAAGAGAAAAGCATTTGACTTAGTTTTTATGCAGTATTAGCTATTTGTAACCTTTTCATTTTATAGTAATTTTTTTTCTATATTTAGGACAGGGTCTGCAGGGTCTCACTACGTAGATCAGACTTTAGTGATTCTGTTTTCAACCTCCCAAGTGCTGGGATTACAGGCAAGCATCACCACGCCCAGTCTCCCTTGCCGTCTCAGCACGCCCCGCAGGCAGGGCGGGCATGGCACACCAGGGTTAACCCCAGCTGTTGCACTCTGCCTAAACAGGCACTTTAGTCTGTTGAGCTATCAGGCTGGCCCAGTAATGTGTTTTTATTTTGCGCTCAAGACAACAGAGTGTCTCTAATCAGTGAAGATTCTTGTGTGCATCCTAGGGCAATAAGTAGTTGTCATCCTTTCAGTATCCTTGCATTTGAACCCCCTTCCTTATTAGGAGTCGTACTCTGAAGAACATCCCTGCCTACCACCTGTCTTCACAAGGCAAAAACCCAGATTCTCATGCTCAAAGCTCCCTTTCTTATCTCAATCTCAGACTATTACTTAGGCTTAGTCAAACAGATGCACTCACCTATACTTTCTGTTCTATATCTAGTCCAGAAAGAAGGAAAGAGAATCTTAAATGGTAGTGCTGGCCAACCTGTTTCTTTAGGCCAGTAGTTTCAATAGCCAGTATTCAGTGGCAGCAGTAGCTTTCAGTAATGTTGTTCAGTAACAGTAAACCATGTCCCCACTGGTTTAGTTAGTGATATGATTGCTTTTTAGATTATGTTTTCATTTATAGTCACCTTATGTTTCTGCCTTTTTCTGAAAACTGAGTTTCTACCCTTCTGAGCAATTCTAAGAGAAAGTTATAAGGATTCAATTCTATTTCATACCTATGTATATTTCTGCTGCTGGCAACTAAGAACCCAAACTGATGTCTAGTCACTATGCCAATGATTTATTTGGTTTGTTTACATAGGGTCTCTAGTTCTTGTTGTACCTTTAAACACTCTTCCCCCAGTCGTTAGTTCCATTGGAGTTGTCTCAGTTACTTTTCTCTTGTTGCTGGGACAAATATCTGACACCCAAAGTGAAGGAAGGAAAGGTTTATGTAGCTCATCTACTGGAGATTTCAGTCCATACTCAGCTGGCTGCAAGGCAGAGTGGCACATGGCAGAGGACAGCAAGCAGTTCATGGTGGTGGCAAAGAGCAGAGAGCAAAACGGAGCAGAGAGGAAGTCTGTCTCCCCTAAGTTGCATTCAGGCTATCTGCCCCAGGCTCTGTATAGTACTCACAGCCATAATCCCAACAGTACTACAACTCATAATCCCAGCCTGATCATAATTCCAGTGGCTCTTGAGTTAATCACAAACTCTAGAAGTCTGCCCCATGACTGCATGAGGCTTTGGGGGGACACCTAGAGACTAACCATAACAGGAGTATGTGACTTAATCATGGAAATATTTATTCACAGAAATGTAAAAATTATACAAAATGATGTGTCTGCCTCAGTGCTAGATCAGCAGTGTTGCTGAATTTCTTTGGTAGTACCCTCTTCTTGCACATTGTTTATTGACTGATTGATTTGTAATTGTCTATCCCACTAGAATATACACTCCACAAAGACAGTTATCCTTGTCCATTTCTGTGGGTCTAGAATAGTGCTGGACACATAGTAGGTACACAGTATGTATTGAGTGAATAAATGAGCCTGAAGTGCTTTGTGAAAGTGCCTGTTCCCTGAATACATGAAGAAAATATGAAGATCAGCTGTGACTCCTGTCATTCCCTGCATCTGCAAGTATCTATTTCATCTGGAAGACAGACCGCTTTTTCAGAAGCGAGTCTTCCAGTTCTTTATTATAAGCTGGTGTCCTTTCACTCCCTTCAGGATAGCCAGGTCTTCAGTTTCCCTTCCTGCTCCTACGTTTTTCCCTGCTGCCTCTTTCCCTTTGGAATATGATTGCTTTTATTGACTTCTTCATCCTAAGGATGAAGAAAAATAAGTTTATCATAGAAATTCTTTTATCTGACACCACGTCTCTTCAGGTTTGGGTGGGTTTTTTTTCTTTGTTTTTATGTTTTGTTTTGTTTTCTAACTACCAAATGTCTTGGGAAGAGTTGTATTGTTTTTTTTCTCTAAATCTTCATTTATATAAATGCCCCTGTCACTGTCTTTCCACAGTCCTCCTCAGCACCAAAATCACTCTGGCAGAGGTTTTATGTGATGAAATTGCTACAGCCAGCGATTTTTAGTTATCCTTATTTTACTTAATTTCTCTATGATTTGCCTTTTTTTCTATTTAATTTAACATATTTATTGGAACATGTGCTAAAGGCTCTACATTCTCCTAGGCAATGAGAATATAAAATGTAAACAAAGGCATGTGCAAATAATATATTACCGGTACTGCCAGGAACACATTACTTAGGACTGTGGACAAAAGAGCAGATTTCCTAGAGCAGGGATGACATATTATCAGATAACAAAGTAAACGCCTGTTACACAAGTCAGAAACATTGCTAGCAGCGTAGGAAGCATCAAAGTGCTTGCAGTGTTTTAGAAGTCAGCCATGAATGTAGTATGGTAAGCAAAAGTGTGTATGTAGCAAGCCTGATAAGGGAGCGGTGTAGTGTGCATGCAAGATATGATGGCGCTTTAAGCTAGAACAGTGGCAATTGGGATATGGAGGCAGTGGGTGGAAGTATGATTGCTGGAAAAATGTTCACAGGTAGAATCCTACTCAGTAACTGGTTTGTTATAAAGCAGAGTTATGGAGGGGAACAGCATCCTCTGTAGCATAGTGTTTGATGTTGTGACATTCAAACATAATGAAATTTAGTAGATATTTGGATATGAGGATCCAGAGGCCAGGATTAGGGTCAAGGCTGAAAAAAAAATGCCACAAAATAATTGAAGTTATGAGAATAAAAAGACAAAGTACTATTTGGAAACTAAAGAAGAAGTAAGTTTAAGGAAGTCTTACCTGATGAACTCTATCTCTGACAAAATGAAAAAGCAGCCTGCTTTGGTGTAGGGGCCACTGTAAGATGCTTTAATAGTAGTAAGATTTTAGGGCTGGGGAGATAGCTCAGTGGTCTAAGCACCTGCCTGGCAAGCACCTCCCTGCTGCCACATGTAGCGCAGACCCAAGAACTCTGGGGCGGAAACCAGCCTGAAACAGGACCACTATGAGTCTGAACAGTGTAGCAAGACCCTGTATCAAATAAATAAATACAGTAAAATACTAGTAGGATTTTGAAACAATAGCTGTGCCTGTGGCATTGTTTCCTTCTGGGCTTTCTAGTCTTCGGTCATTGGCTGGCCTTTATCTTTGTTTGTGGTACTGTTTCTTCTTTAGTATTACTGTCAACTTTGTGAAACCCTGTTTTTCAGAATTTGCAGTGTTACTTTACATTGCCTTTGCATCCTGTTAATGGATGTATCCTACCATCAGCCAATGCCCAACAAAATAAAGATGATAATATGATTGTAATAGTCATAGGAATTGATTGTATACTGACGCATAGCAAAGTGCTTACATTTTAATGGAAGGTGATAGATAATAAATGTGTCAGGTGATAGTAAATATAATGAAAAAAATGAGGCATTATAAAAGGAAAGCAGAAAACATTGAACAGAGACTTAGAAGGGAGGAGAAATACCTTGTGAATAGTCAAGGGAAGAGTATTCTAAAAAGAGTAAGTGTAGACTTTTTCTTTCTTTCTTTTTTTTTTTTTTTTTGTAGTACCAGGGATCAAACTCAGGACCTTGCCCTTGCCAGGTAGAATTCTTCGGGAGAATTGTACTTTAGCATCTTCTGAGAGCAGCAAATGTGCCATTGAGCACAGGCATGGTACTGGATGGAGACGAGGTTGTGGAGGCTGGGGCAGATCATGAAGGGTACATTCTGACCAGTTAGACTGCAGTCTTTGATTTTATAGCAGCAATTTCATAAGTCTAATACTAAAATATACTTTTAAAAGTTTTCAAAATATAATTTGAATGCCCTAACTAAAGAGAAAGCATTTATAATTAATGTACTTTTAATATGTGATTTCTCAGGCAGGACAGTACAGAAAGACAAAAAGCCCTGTAAACTACCTTAAGAAAATGTACCAACTTCCTGAGAACACTGTAATGTGCCTTGTAAACCTTTATTAGGCTTTTACTCTGAGCGGTAAAGCTAACAAGAGGTTAGAGCAAAGAAGTAACATAGCCTGAAGCATAAGTGAGGCTCTGGGTGGACAAGGGCAAAAAGCAGTTAGGCTACTTTAAGCTATTACAGTAATTCAGATGTAAGCCGCTTCATATATAAGATGCTCAGTTGAACCAACGTGATAAAAAGAGGATATGAGATGTTGAATTCTGAATGTAGTTGGAAAAATGAGATGTAGAGTATAGAGGAAGAGGAATCAAGGGTAACTCCAGAGATTCTCAACTGATTAACTACAAGAATATAAATTGCTGTTAATTTAGATTTGTTGGCAAATAGATGACCAGGAGTTATTTGAGATGTCTCGTGGACATCCAGGAAGAAAAGGTATGTGCAAGTCTCTAGCGTCGAGGAGGTCCACGGTACAGACAGTTATTTGGAGATTGATGTGTTTATGAATGGTGGTGTTAACAAAAAATAGACTGTTAATGATTCTTCCATAAAGATGAGACTCTTGTGTTCATTATCTTTGGGAATGAATTTAAGAAGGTTGAAACATTGACATGGATTATAAAAATTGTAAGTTTAGAAGGCTCAAGCCCTGTCGCTTCCTTGTACCCAACTGAGTGCCATCTGGTTACACATTTAAATAGGTTTACTAAATAAAAAAGAAGTACCTATTTTGAATTTGAAGTCATAGTCTTGAATTAATTAAAATGAAGAATTAAACCCTCCTTTTAAGACTTTACATAGTATCGTGTAGAATTCTTAAATTTTTAATAAAGTATCTTGAAAAAAGTTATTTTTACCTGTAAAAGTACCTATACATTATTTAGTACATATTATTTTTATTTATCTTTTATTATTAGAATTAATCTTGGTATAAATAATCATAGAGTTGGTGTTTTAAAAGGCTGGTATAACTTCTGAATTCATTTGGCTTTCTCTTTAGGAAGACTTGGAGACTGGTGTTCACCTTGACCCTGCTGTCAAGGAAGTTCAGTATAATCCTACCTATGAGACCATGTTTGCTCCTGAGGTAAGTAACATTCAAGGTTCTGCTCTTTGCTAAAGTATTTGAATTGTACATAGGTAGGTATATGGTTGTTGAGTTTTTAAAAGCTTTTTCAAAAAGTATATTTAAGTTTTCAGAAAATATGACCTCCCAATCGCCCAGAATCTAAATGCTTTATGGGATTATTTTGAAAATCCACTGATTGTCTACTTATAAATATCTAGTATAAAACTATCTTTAGAAAAAGAAAATTTGAAAATAATCTGATTCTTAGATGTGAACTTGGTTGATATCTTCCTCTCAGCGTTGATAAGAAAATATTATAATTAACTATAAGGAATAATATTTTCTGAATTTTTTTTCCAGTACTGGGGATTGAACTCTTACTATCAGTGGGAAGTATATTATGAAACATTTACTAACAAATACTAACACAGTATGCATTGTTATAATAACATACTATTTGAACATAGTCATAGGGTTTAATGCTCTGAGTGAAACAAAGTACTATCTTGAGTTCTTTTTTCTTGGTAATAAATGATGGTAGAGGACTGAGGAAATAGCTCAGTAGCATATGTACGTGCCTAGCAAGCACAGAGTCCTGAGTTCAATCCTTGGCCCCCAAAAATAAATATAGAAAGAAAGACTTTTAAAATGGAGGGGAAAAAAACAGAAACAATTCCTATTGACATTTAAGAAATATTTTTGAGTGGAGTGTGATGGCACACACTTGTTATCACAGCACTCAGGAGGCTGAGGCAGGAAGATCTTGACAAGCCTAGTCTTAACTGCACAGGGAGACCCTGTTTAAAACAAATAAATATCTTTGAATATTGTTCATTTGGAAAAGTTTGTAGAAAAATTACGTTTCTAGATATTAAAATTGGAAAGTGCTTATTCATGAAGAGAGGCCAAAAAAAGGTAATTGTAGATCTGGTGGCACACCCCTGTAATCCCAGCACTTGAGAAGCTGAAGTAGAAAGAGCATTAAGAGTTCAAGGCCAGCCTGAACTACATAGGGAGACCTTTCTTTAAAACAAACAACAAAAACCAGAGAGAAATGAAATTGTGATTATAAACCAAAAATAAGACTCCAGAAGCAAAATCTTTAAGAAATTCTTAAATGATATATGTGAGGAGTTATGTCTTACTGTATTTTGATCTTTTCCAGTACTTTTCATTTTGTAGAACATAGTAGTTGTCCTTTTTTATGATATATCAGAATCCTAGAGCTATTTCATGTACTTGGCCTGCCTCAGTTTCAATAGTCGCTTATAAGTTGGCCATTAAAATGTGTACCACTGGGACTGGGGAGATAGCTCAGTGGTCTAAGCTGCCTCACAAGCACAAGGACCTGGGGAAGCTGAGATGGGAGGATCACTATAATTCTGAGCTATGTAGTAAGACCCTATACCAGAGAGAGAGAGAGAGAGAGAGAGAGAGAGAGAGAGAGA